CAGAGGAGCAGAAACTAGTATATCTGGCAACGAGCTTGAAGGGACAACCACTGGAAATCCTTGGACAGTTGTCAGCAGACGACATGCACAACTATAGAGAACTGGTAGTGGCTCTAGAACTCAGGTATGGAACTCAAAACCAGTCCGAAGTCTACAGGGCTAGGATTAGGACGAGAGTCCGTGCTAAAGGGGAGAGCCTGCAAGAGGTGGCACAGGATTTGGAAAGTATGGCACACAAGGCCTACCCAAATGTGCCACCCGATCTCCTAAAATTGTTGCTGAGGGATCAGTTTGTAGACGCCTTGGACATTCCACAACTGAAGATACAAGTGAAGCAAGCACACCCCTCTACTATACAAGATGCAATGGCCAGAGTTCTTGAATTCGAATCCTACATTAAGTCCAGCACAGAGGTACCAAGGTAGGTACAGTCATCAGGATTCAAGGCCAGAAAAGGGCAGCTTTCAGAGAGGTTTGACGGACTTTGCTGGCACTGTAACAAACCTGGGCACAAGAGAACTCAATGCCAGCAACTTCAACACAGGAATGATGCCACGGCAGGAAAAGCTGCTACCCAGAAAGTTTTTTGGAACTGTGGAGAGCAAGGACATATGAGGAGACAGTAAAAGAAGAATACTGACAATAAGTCAGCTTTGAGAAACCATTAGTGGTTGGTGCTGAGGGATGCCCACCAACCCCCATTGTGAAAGTCCCAACAGCTAAGTGTAAAATGGCAAGCACACATAGTGTCTACGTGACAGGAAAGCTGGACGGCCAAAGGTGCGAGTTTGTCATAGATTCTGCATCTCAGCAAACCCTTGTGAGTATTAAGGTGCTGGATCACAAAGGAGTACCAGAAGCCATACAGAAGCTCTGTGGTATGACAGGACATTATGCAAAGTTGTGGGGACCAGTGTGGGTAACTATTGAGCTCATGGGCTTAAATGACAGACACAAAGTATACTTGGCTGACATTGAAGACCAATGCATATTAGGGTTGGACTATCTACTACCGAGGAAGTGTGTAGTTAACTTCGATAAAATGACGTTTTGGAACAACAAAGGCCAAATTCCAGTAAGTGTTGCTGCATCTTAAGTCAACTACAATACCCCCTATGTCAGAGAAGATAATTTGGGGTAGAATAAAAGAACATCCCCAAGGAAGCCCGATGCTTGTGGAAGCAGTGGAAGACCCATCCAGGCCAGTGGATGTGAAGATTGGAAAGTCACTTGTGGCAGGTCATCAAGTAGTACCCATAACAGTGGCCAACCAGCGCTGTAGTCTCTCTTCTTGTTTATTTTCTTTCTCCTCCATCCACTGCTGTAATCTTTCTTCTTGTTTATTTTCATTCTCCTCAACCACTGTTCTAGTCTCTCTTCTTGTTTATTTTCTTTCTCCTCCAACCACTGCTGTAGTCTCTATTCTTGTTTCTTTTGTTTCTCCTCCAACCACTGCTGTAGTCTCTCTTCGTGTTTGTTTTCTCGTTCTTCTTGTTTCTTTTCTTTTTCCTCCAACAACTGCTGTAATCTCTCTTGTTTATTTTGCTGTTCGAGCTGCCACTGTTGCTGGTATTCTTGCAACTGCCGTTGTCTCCCTTCTTGTTTCTTTTTTCGTTCTTCTTGTTTCTTTTGCTCTTCTTGTATTGCTGCTATCAAATCTGCTAAGTCGTAGTTGGATTTGGCACTTCTCCTTTCCATCTTTTTTTCTTTTCCGTCCCACTCTCTGACACTAATTTGTTACTTCTCTGGTCGTTAGTTAATTTCCAGTATAATTTCTTTTGGATGAAACTTTAGTGACACAAATCCTTTCTTAAATGAAACTAGTTTATTCTTTCTCAATTCAACTTTGCAATACACTTAATTTCCACAGTCACTTTAAACACACGCTATAATTCACCATGATTCACCCACTTACTTACGGTCACTACCGCGCTTGACTCAATTGTCCGTCTTTATCTCTGCCTGTCTGCAATTCAATTCCGATTAATTTGTCTCATATTATCCGGCGCACTTATATACAGGAATAGAGGGCGCCTAGCACATACTGGATTATTCGTGATGTTCCCCTTCTAGAATATTGTTACGTCTCTGTTTGTTAATTGATTTTCCGAAAGAATAAACCAGTTTTATTAAGTAAGGACTTGTGTCGCTAAAGTTTCGTCGGAACGAAGTTACCCTGATGAAGCAGATGAACCCCACATGAAGCAGAAGCCAACAAGATGGAGACCAGTACGGAAGAAGATACGTCCCGTAAAATTAAGAGACTTTGTTGAATTGTAATTTTGTGTTTGTAATTCTGTACATTTAATTAAGTTATTGTTAACTGTATGTGGTTATTGTTCGGGACGAACAATATTAAGGAGGGGGCAGTGTTGCGTCAGCGAGGTCACGTGACTAGTGTCACGCCCCCTGCTTTCTGGAAATATCTTGTACCTTCGTGAATTGTCGGGAGATTACTAGATATAGGGTAGTCTGGTATATATAAGAGGGTGACAACGTGACGGGACAATAATGTGTGTGTAGGTAGTGAGTAATTGAACTACAGTGAGGAAGTATTGTTGAAGTTAACGTTCGTTGTTAAAACGTTTGTAAAAGAGCGACTGTTGAAAATAAGTGTATCGGTAAAGTTATATTCTAAATGTCCTATCAAGCCGTCTCCAGCCATTATTAGTCTCAAAGTGGGTTCCTCGTCATCGAATTTGAATTCATCACGAAGCACCTATCAATCTGAGATGGAACACCAGTGTTCTGCTGAACATAGTTTAGGAAACGCTGCTCTACAACAACTGAAAAAATATAATTCCAGACCCAAAGTCGGTCTCAAAAGTATATATAAAAGGCGAGAAAGATGGTGCATGTGCCATAGTAAATATATCCTCTACAAAATTTAAAATCATTTAGACGACCCAAAGTCTCATTACGAAAAAAAAAGAAAGAAAAAGAGAGGTGAGGGATGGCACATATACCAATTACTTTCTAAAAGTTATATATTATTGTGAAATTTAAGGGGTGAAATTATTTTGGGCCACTTCTGCCTCTGCACATTCTTTATGGGGCACATCCCCTGTACATAAATCAATACCATTTAGCTCGGCTCAAGTGGGTTTCAGAGGTAAAAAGAGTGCAAAGATGTCACACAGACCAACTTCCTTCTAAAAGTTATATATTTATTATGAAATTTAAGGGGTTAAATTATTTTGGGCCACTCCTTTCTCTGCATATTCTTAAAGGGCCACATCCCCCTCTACAAAAATCAATACAATTTAACTTGACCCAAAGTGGATTTCATAGGTAAAATACAGGGCAGAGATGGTACATAGATCAATTTTTTTCTAAAAGTTATATACTTATTCTGAAATTTAGGAGGCTTAATTATTTTGGGCCAATTCTTTCTCTGCATATTCTTGAAGGGTGACATCACCTGTACAAAAATCAATACAATTTAACCTGTTTCATAGGTAAAAAAACAGGGCAAAAATGGCACATGTGCAAACTTTATTTCTAAAAGTTATATATTTATTGTGAAATATAAGGGGTGAAATTATTTTGGGCCACTTTTTTCTCTGTACATTCTTTAAGGGCTACATCCTCTGTACAGAGATCAATATCATTTACTGATACAAAAGATTAGCAGACTTACAAAGAATAAGACCTCTAAACGTGAAGTTTGAAGTAAATGTTATTATGTCTTTAATCTGATTCAAAAATGGACAACACAATCTTCATTCTAATGTTTATTGGTGCATTTTTTTCTGTTAGAAAAAGCTGGAGAATTATCCTCAGAAGTCACTTTTTTTTCTGATTAACACTATGCTTCCCATTCTAACTCCATGTGTCAGGACTTGTTGCATTACATCTGGTGTAGCAAATGTTTCTCCACTACCTGAATTCTTCATTTCCTTCATCCCATCAAAAATATGCCACTCATTGTTATCTTTCAGGAGGTGTAAGCATACAAAATGTCTTCCAGTGTTGTAAGTTGTGCCCATTTGATTATACTTTCATTAACACAAAAAAGCATGCAAGACATTAGTAACAGCAGAAATTTTTGAAGAGATTAACTTAACCTACAAATTTAACCTTTTGGTCATTATTACATACATTTTCTGAAATATATGTAAATATATATTTATATACAATAACATTTGTTGAAAGTGTTATTGTGTCAAATTTTTCAAAAGTGTTGATTGAACTTCATTAGAAAGTAGACTTATTTGTAATTAACTTTGATTTTATTATGAATTCAAAATTTTGAAACAAATAGGAACAAGCATACAGACAAAAAGCAATAGGTAAAAATGTAGTGAGCTGATAAATTAATATTTTCCTTTTTCCAAAGACAGAGAGTGTTGATGGAAGTTCTGTAGGGGTTAATGGGGAGCACAAGGGTTTGTCTGCTGGCATATTCATGATTGTGATAAACAGCATTCAGTGTAGGCCATGATCAAACTGTCTTCTCAATTAAGTCGTTCTCCTCTTGCAGGCTTTGTTTCCTTGTCTGCAGACAGAAAATATGGTGTCATTGAGTTCTTGCAGTTGCAAAATTTAAAGGAACTTTTCAGGATCAAAATTTAGTAATGAACTTTTTTGTTGATACAGTGAGTTTTACTCTCATTTTTGATTTAATAATACTGATATATTATTTCACAACAGCCTTACCCTTTCCTGTTATATTGAAAAATGTGTCCTTATTAGGCTGATAGCCAAACATACATTACTTCTTGGATTTCAGCAAAATCATCACACCTTTAGAGGATAGAAAAATTATTTAAATAACACATTTAAGTTCAGCTGTAAATTATTTAAGCTGTGTATTATAAAGATATAATCAACTTCATATTACTAAAATTGAGCTGTTGATGTCATGATTACATATATAGTGGACATTTAAACAAACATTAACACATTTTTATTAAGCATTGTAACAATTCTATTCACCCTACTTCAATGAGATTTGAAGTTCTGACAGTTTTGGGTTTGGTACAGGAGGGTTTACTGCAACTATCTCCACCCTTGTTGTTTGCAAGTAGTTAAGACAGCAGACAACAAAGTCCTCTTTACTGCCAAATGTATCCCATGCAGTTCTCCCATGGAATCGATCAAAGCGTTTCGTTTCAACCACTCTATATTTTCTTTGAACCATTCTTCTCTGGAAAAGTGATGGTGGACTTTTAGAAGTGCACTAATGTCTGGATCTTCTGCTTTCAAATCATCAAGCTCTTGAAAAATCCAATCATGCCTCTGCATTGCCAAATGAATGAGATACAGCAGATTGTCAATTGTACAAATGTTATATAGTGTAATAGTCTTTCTTCCAAGTTTGCCTTTCATGATGGACAGGTGGAAGTCATGCTCTGCCTTGCAAATTGTATTACAAGTGACTAGTAGTATTTCCCTTGTTTTCTTTTCTGTTTGAGTCTTCTCTTCTGCTACTTCTCTTCTTGATTGAGAGGCTCTTTCTGGGCTTCATCTTCCTTTTCAATATCGACATTAGCTGTCAATGTGAGACTTGTATGTTAGATTTTAGTGCTTCTTAGAGCATTTAGTGCAATACTTCATATTCTTACTTGTATAAATTCATAACTTGCAAAAAATCCCCTGGTTTTCAATGGAGTTTGTCATTCAGTGCCACCTTCTTGGTTGTCCTGAATGAGTTTTAAACAGTAGCATTTGTGTCATGTTTCTTCTTTAGGTTTAGCTCCCTGAGCATTATTCCACTCCACAAAGGTATTGTTGCAGTATATGACTATTAGGTTAACAAGCTGTGGAGAGCAAAACACCTTTGGGTTTCCTGAAGTCAAAGCTTTGTTGTCAAGTTCAGCTTTCATCTTTGTGTCAGCATATATTTTTTCCATACTTTTTGAGAATGACAAACCTTTCTTGATATTTCTCTCTCTCTCTTTAAAGGTGAACTCTTCCAAGTCACTTGCTGTGTCTTCTTCAAAGTGATCACTCGGAATCTGTCTTCTTTGATCAGAAGCTGACTTCTGCAGCACAGTCACATGTTCCTTGTTTTCATTGGTTTCCCTTTCCCTTTTGACAGTAAAAACATATGTCATTCTTCTTGTTTGTGCACAGATATCCTCTGCTTTGCCTCTTTTTTTTTTTTTTGCCTGCACTTTGGTGGCCCTCAAACTGACAAGCTTGATCAAAGTGAAATTGTAGGGTATTGACCTTCAGAAGCTAAATAGCATCTTTTTAAATACTCCTGCAGAATTGTCTGATAGAAGGCTAGTGTAGAGGCATGGATTAGTGCCCAGCTGAAGTCCATTTCTACCTTTTGAGGACTGAGGCAAAAGATAGAGAGGTAAACCAATGCTGAACAGTAGGTGTGCTTTGATCCGATGATAGCATATCAGCTACAGCAACCGTGCTCATTTTTGTGGACTGTGTTGAAATGCAAAGAATGTTTTGCTTACAGTCCTTAGAATTGGCAACTACAGATTCAGTTGCATTCAGGTATAAGCAACAGTATTTGGAAAACTGAAGGTCTTTCATTATATATAGTTGAGCATCCAAGTACATGTGAACGACAAATGGAGAAATTCCTATGCTTTGTATGTATATAAGCATGTTTTTTTTCAGATGGGGTTCAGTTTCATGTCATCCTGGAGTTTTTGCACTGCCCAGAAATCCATGTATTAATTTTCATCAAACCTGTTTTCAAGGTTTCTTCAGCTTGAAACTTACAGAATTATTAAAATTGACTTGACAGTATTTAGATTACGTGCCACAATCTGTTCTGTATCTGCAGTGGCCAATTGCCTTAAGGCTAGTTGTTGGAGCTTCAACTGTATTGTAGATTACACCAAATTTATTTAGTTGAGGATTGCAGTGGCGAGTGGATCTCACAAGTCGCTAACTTGAGGTAATCTAAAGTTAAAATAAAGAAACAGATTCATGACTGAGATTGAACAAAATACATCAACATTTATTAGGTCCTTCCACATAATATACACTTTTAACATCAATAGTTAAGCATTTACCAAACTGTTAGCTTTTTACAATTCTAATTTTGACTCTTCAGTTAAACACTATTAACCAATACATATAGAATATGCCTCTCTTTTATAATCATTAACTTCTTTTAGTAAACTACATTATTGAACAAGAGAGATAGTAATTCTATACTTACAACAAGGTCAGACTGGTATACCTCTGGAGGTTGGAAATCTTTATATTCATGTTGACTCGATTCACTTCTTAACTTCTTTTCTCTGGAAATCTTCTTCTTCCTGGAGATCTTGATTTTTAGTTCCAGACACGAGTTTTTATACTATACTTTCTTTGTATCCTTTTGACTTTCTATATAGTATTCCTGACTAGCTGCAAGTAATCCTGATACTTTAATGGCTAATTTCTGCAACTCAACGGGCATTTTCAAAACAAGAAACATAACTCTCAAGTAATTGGTTACTGTGATGGTGAGTGCTCCAGTTACCTTTTTACTTGTACTATTACACTGGCTTGGAGTAACAGATCTCAGATCAAAGCACTGATTTGAGATACTATCATAAACTTTTTAATAGTCTTTACTGTGCTACTAACTCGGCGTCAGTAACTTATCACTGTCAAGCTCGTGACTAACCTTTTTCTCAGCGTCCTTGTTCTAGCTTCATTTTTATACCTCTTAACTCGTGAATCTCAATACTAACTAGCCAGCTAACTGTGCTTCCTCTAGTTCTTGACCCAATTTCGTAACATATGTGTCCTTAACTTACACCATTTCTTCACATTTATGCACCACACTCAGAAACTTAAATTTCTGCAATTAGTTTCTTAAACATAAAAGGCTGATTTTTTTGGCTTCTTTGAAATTGAAAGATTGTATTTTGTTCACCCTTCAAATTTGCATTGGCCCGTTGCATGCCAGTAAACAACATTTTTTTCTGTGAATGACTGGTCTTGACTCTACTGTATTTGAAATGTAAAACACAAAATTTATTGACTTTATTAATTTTCTGACATATTATGTCAGTCCATCCTTTCTTGAGAACACAGTAACCTTCCCTTCTCTCAAGCTTAATTTTGTCCCATTCCCCCTTCCCCATTGACAGTGTGACACTGAACTGTGATGGGCAGCTGTCTGAAAGCCCAACATTTCCATTTGTATCTTTTCCTAAATTTGACATTTTGCCATTGTTTCATCATGTAATTGGCTCACAGTAGAATATCTTTCAGGACTTTCTGTGGATATTGATTCCAAATACTGTATGTCTGATTTACTCAGATCACTCTGAAAGTAATCATCACATTCCTGAATGTGTGCAGGTTCTTCATCCCTATCAGCAGACTTCTTGTCATATTCTTGTAGGAGTTTTCTTGGGGTGAATTGTACAAGGTTCAAAGACAAATTTTGTTCTCTTTTGTTTGTTTTCTTTGTTTTTTCTCGCAGAGAGGACAAAACTATGAATAAATTACTTGGATGTCCATAATGCTTTTGTAACCAACACAAACAGGGTGAAACCAGTTTTTACATTGTGCATATGGTCCATCCAGGTTGTTTCTCTGTCTGCATAGACAGTAACGTTGTTAATCTTCCTCAGGGTCCTCAGCATCAAAGGTTTCTTGGCCTTCGTCTGCCACACTATCAGCACTTAATGCTTCATCCATAGATGTATGTCCATTGCTATAAGCTATGGTTCTTGAACATAATTTTCAATGATCTTCATGCCATTTCTGATAATACCATTTTCTAACAGAAGTTATATTTCTGTGAAGCAAAGATGCTATTCCACCCCACACTGAACTTTCTCTGTGATAGCCTTCATGGTCTAACATTAGATATATTTTGATGGAAAAGCTGTAGCTTTTTGATCAAAAAATAATTTCCAGCACATTTTCATAAATTCTTAACCAGCAAATTCAAAATATGCATTAGAGGAAAATAATCACAGGTTTTTCTAGTAATCATTTGTAAAAATGTCTTAATCAGATGTAAGAGAATATGAATTCAAAGTTTCTCTAAAAGTACAATTATAACTAAAACTTTTCTTAGCCACACTGCTACTACTAATAATAATAAACTACAGACTTAACTGATTATGCTATTTATATGAAAATTCTTCAACTGTTACTATATATAGAAACTTCTCAACCAATCTAAAGGTTGTTGATTGTCCAAGTTATCAGTGGAGAGATTTGCACCCTTGCCACTCAAGATATAATTTCAGAACCTTATCCTGAAGTGGGGCAAAAGGGGAACAGAAAGTGTTTCCGACCACCCCCGGTTGTCTTCCAAAAGAAGACTTTAAACCAAAATCCTACCAGCATTCTGGATTTGGATGCACAGTGGAAGGCATGGCATTTGACCATTTGCTGATATCTCCAGAAAGCAAAATCTTGTTAGAAATTGATAGTTTAGCTCGAGGATATGTATAATGTAAGTGCAAAATTCTACAGAAAGTTATAATGCCTTAGTGGGTAGAAGAAAATGTGGAACTGGAGAAGTGTCATGCAATATACAGAAAATGAAGTTTAGCATTTATATATACTAGC